TTCCTGGAGAAAGCATCTCCAAAATGTATGACAGGCTCCTCACTATCACTGGAGAAATCTCTGAGCTTGGCAAGGAACTTAGCACGAAGGAGATCAACCTCAAGGTGTTGAGAGGATTCCCTCAGCATGGAAGATGAAGGTGGTTGCTGTCCAAGCCAGCAAGGATGTGAAGACTTATCCTACTGATAAGCTCATTTCAAATCTCAAAGCTCATGAGTTTGAAATGATTGAAGAGAAGGAAGATGTACCAGAAGAGAGGACCATCACAGCCCTCACAGCCAGTACATCAAAGGTAAATGATTTTGACCCTTCAATACTTTTATCTGACGAATATATGGCTGCTTTTGCTAGGAGATTCAAGAAGTTTATGAAGAATCCCAAAGATGGAAGAAGTCCATCATCCAGCAGAAAGCCCTTCCAGAAGGTCAAAGCAACAGAGAGCAGTAGTGAGCTTCTCTGTTACAACTGCAGACAGCCTGGACATTTCAAGACAGATTGTCCACATCCAAGAGTGTCCAAGACACAAGGGCATGATGGAGAAAAGAAGAAATATCAAGACAATACAAGAAGGAGGAAAGCACTCGTCACAGAACAGCTCGAGAAAGACTCTCTGTCTGAGATAGAATGCAGTTCTGACTCCGACTCTGATGAGACCTTCTGTTGCCTTGATACTGAGACAGAAGACCTATGCCTCATGGCTCATTCTGATGATGAGGTAACCTCTACTTCTACATCTAGTTTTTCTTCGGTAGGCTTAGCTTTTGATTCTGATTCTATGTCAGAATTTTGGGAAGAGTTTAAGGTCATCCAAGCCACTTATTCCTCTGTCACAGAAGAAAACACCAAGCTGAAGGTTGCGATTCTTGACTTAAGAAAGGAGGTTGAGATCAAAATCAATCTTCTAATTAAGGAGAGAGATCAGCTGGAAGCTGAAAATGTTTCTCTTCTCAAGAGAATAAGAGAAATTGAGCCTCTTGAGAGTACAAAGCTTACCAGAAGGCCCAGTCTTCCATGGAAAAGATTGTTCTTGATCAACAAATTGGCATTAGCTTTGGTCTTGGTTATGGCTCAACAGAATCAGGTGAGCCTGCTGTAATGCCTAGCACCAGTGTTGCTATGGCAGACAAGGTCATAGTGTCACTGATCTCTAGCCCCATCTGCCAAGCTGGTGTATCTGGCACCAAGGTTGTTCATGAGGAAGTCAGACCAGAAAAAGGGAAGATAAAGGTTCAACAGAAACCCTTTTTGAAAATTAATGAACCTGGCAGAAAACCTAACAACAGAAAGGGTTTTCAGAATAACAAAAATAAAAGAAACCATTAACAGACAACCTCATGATAACCATGCCAGAAATGATCACCAGAAGGGCAGATATCAAGAGAGAGTTAACTTTAGGCAGAAGAGATTGGCTGGTCAACTTCAGAAGCCCAAAGCTAACCGTCCCTCTGCTCTTGATAGTATATGAGACTTCTTTCCAACAAAGAACGCTATGCAAAAGTACGTAAACAGGAAGCATGACCCTCACAAGCATCTGCCCAAAGTGAATCATACTTCAGTTTACTATAACTACCAGGCGGATAATGGGTACCATCCACCAAAGTTTCACCTGATGAGACCTAAATGGTACCAACTACCCAGACTCCATGACCCCCAGGACCCAGCATTGCTTGGGTACCTAAATCTTTCTTTTGATCTTGTAGGAACTGTGTGCTGGAGCTATCTCAGATCAAGAATGGTTTATTGATAGTGGATGCTCCAGGCACATGACAGGTGACAGAAGTTGCCTAACAGAGTTCCAGAAATGCAAAGGACCCAGAGTTACCTTTGGAGGAAATGACAAAGAAGGTCAATTAAAAGGAAGAGGGAAGCTGATCAAGAACCAGATAGTCATTGATGATGTCTCATATGTCAAAGGCATGAAGTTCAACTTGCTGAGTGCTAGCCAATTCTGTGACAAAGGCTACACTCTTGAATTCACAAAGGACTTCTGCTATGTGAAACATGAGACAACAAAAGAAGTGGTTCTGACAGCATCAAGGAAGAAGAACATCTATGTGGTTGATTGGAAATTTGCAAAGGATGGAGTTTGCCTGATAGCCAAGGGAGATTCGAAACTAATGTAAGGAATATTTGTAATTAGATTTTGATGATGCTATATTTATTAGGACTTTAGAGTACCCCTCTTTAGATTTAATGTATTAGAATTCTTTCCTTTGTAAAAGTTCTTAGTATAATCGACTACCAGAAGGCCTCCAGAGCAGAAGACCTCCTGACAGAAGACCTTTTGTTCTCTGCCTTAGAACAGAAGACCTCAGGGTCTCTTTTAGCTTTTACTCTGACAGAAACCCTCCTGGTTCTCTGTCGGATATCTCTTCCACAGAAGTGCTCAAGACCTTCTCTGATCAACTCTCTGTTAAAGACACCAGAAGGCCTGACACTTGGAAGAATTCCACCAAGCCGGGAAACCAACTGAAAGATTCCTTCAACGGCTAAGAGTCTTGAACGGAAAAGCTACAGTACGCGCATTAAATGCACATTTAATGCCTCCCGTACTTTGTAGAGTAATTGCAGATGATTGGCCGCTATTGTCAGGATTACTTTATCCCAAAATAGTAACCCGCCAACTTTACCGGGTCCTACTGGTCAAGTCAACTACCCGCTCATTTAATGCAGTTGTCCTCCTTCTCCTCCAACGGGAAGACAATCTCAGTATAAAAGCTACACTACGAAGAACAACCGAATAACTTTGCTATAACTTTTGCTACAACTCTGCACATACAAGAGATTCAAACGCTACAAAGCAAAAAGCCTCTTTGAGATTAAATCTTCATCATCCTCTACAAGAGAAGGCAGAAGTTGGAAAAATCCTTATTTCCAACTCAAGCAAAGTCCCAAGTGTTCTTCAACTCTTCAAGCTCATCACATACAAACTCTTTGTAACGAAGCAAGTTGGAGGAACCTCTTTTCTAAATAGAACCTCTTTTCTAAATAGAACCTCTTCTTTCACAAGAATGACGTCCAAGTACCTGGAGCAGTGAAGTGGTAATACTTCTGGAAAGCTCAGTGAAAGGACCAATCTTAGGGAAGCCGGAAGTGCATCCAAGAAGACATCTACACTTGAAGAAGACGTGGAGAGCTTCCTAAGTGATAGGGCTAAGGCATTGTAAACGAACGTTTTTACAAGCTTAGTGGAACAGTGGACTAGAGGAACAAGTTGTTCCTTGAACCACTATAAAAAGCCCTGATGTCATTTACTTACTACATTACATTCATTGTTTTTATTTGAACTATTTAACTCCAAAGACTTGGTATTTGTGTTCAGCAGAACTTGTCTTGTGAGTTAATAGAAGGCCTACTGCCTTTGTTTCTCTGAGGCTACTAACAGAACTCCCTACCAGAACCTCATCCGCTGCCAGTCTGTTAAAAAGTTAAAATTCACCCCCCCCCCCCCCCCCTCTAGACTGTATCCAGTACAACCGGGACCAACAAGTGGTATCAGAGCCTCCTTGTTCTAATAATCTCTTAGGTTATTTGTTGAACCAAGATCCACTTGCTTTTCTGTTTTATCTCCCTTTTAATCTGATATAATGGATCACTCCCTTTCCAAGAATCTTATGTTCTCAGATCTCAAGTTTGATGACTGGAGGATCCGGATGAAGACACATCTCTGTGCTCTGCATGATGAGATGTGGGAAGTACTTGACATTGGGCCCTTCACAAGCTTCCAGAAAGTCAACCCTGAACATGCTATTGACAGAATAAAGAAGTGCAAGACTGCAAAGGAAATACTGAAGAAAGAAGGAAATACAATCTGGACAACATTGCTAAGGACATTTTTTACAAGTCCATCGATGATAGGTACTTCAACAGAATAAAGAAGTGCAAGACTGCAAAGGAAATCTGGGATACTCTTGAGCTCATTGGAGCTGGTGATGAGCAAGAGAAGGACAACAAGCTGACAATAGCCAACAAGAAGTTTGATGACTTCAAGCTTCTTCCTGGTGAAAGCATCTCTAAGATGTATGACAGACTCCTCACTCTCACTGGAGAGATCTCTGAGCTTGGCAAGGAACTCACCACCAAGGAGATCAACCTTAAGGTGTTGAGGGGACTGCCCTCAACATGGAAAATGAAGGCGGTTGCTGTCCAAGCCAGCAAGGATGTGAAGACTTATCCCACTGATAAGCTCATTTCAGATCTCAAAGCTCATGAGTTTGAAATGATTGAAGAAAGAGAAGATGTACCAGAAGAGAGGACTACTACAGCCCTCACTGCCAGCATGATCGTTGTATCTTTTTAGTGTGAGTAAAACGTAGTTGGTTAATCCGTAGAATAACCAGACCACGAGTATCGTCTCTCAAGGAGTGGCAAAAAGGAAGTTTTCAATACAGTCCGTGATCACAGGCTAGCACAAGTCATGGTAATCTTTCCGAATAAATTGTTTTCGGGTGATAAAAAAAATTAAACTAACTAACAACGAGTGCAAAAAAATAGAGTAGAAAGGTAAACTGATTCTAGATATTAAAACAGGGTTCGAATTGGATGGTTCGGGTTCTGGGTGTTCTTTCGAGATGAGAATTAAGTAAATTAATTTTCAATTATTCCTGGAAAGAAAATGAAATAAATTCTCATAGACAAGAATTAAATCAAATTATCACAATCTTAACTTATTGCTAAGATCAGATTGCTTGTATAAGACCCAAGCTAATTTAACGCAAATTCCATAGACAAAAATTGAATTAAATCCAAACATTCATATATGAGGTGATCAAATTCATATAGACAATTATGATCAATCTTATACAATTTTCCAGAAAATTAATTGAATTTCAAAAACTAAATTCACACCTTCAAGAACCCATGAACCCTAGCCCCAATTCAAACCCTAGATTGAATTAGCTACTCATACTTAAAATGAACATCACAGTAATATTGATTAACATTATAAAGGCTAGAAAACTGATGTAGAATGATTGCTAAGAAATTCTGAAATTAGCTATGGGAGAAAAACTGCATCGATATTCAATCCAACATTGGAAACATGTAATGTAAAGTATAATTAAACTTACAGTGATTCCGTAGGAACTAAATTGAATTGGGAGAAATTGAACAAAAACATGAAGTTTGGAAATCCCTCCTAGATTTCTACAGCGGCTACATCTAGATTCCAGAAGAAAAAAAATTGCGTGGTCTTCTAGTTGGCGCTTGGCTGTTTCTCCAGACAACAAAAAACTGCTGTTGCGACTAAGTTTGGAGAAACAAACTACTACTCCTGCGGCTGGCTTGTTTGTATGCTACCAAAAATATGAAAACTGAACTCTCTGGTGCGGCTAATGTGTTCCGAAAAAAAAAACGAAAGAGAAAAAGGGTGGTTAACTCCTTTTTGCAGCTGCTAGTTCCAGGGAAAAAAATAGCTTCTTTCTTTTTGGGCTGCTTGAGAAAGATCCAATCTCCTGCGGGTTTTTTCTTCTTTGGGCTGTTCTCTTCTTTTTTTTTCGGCGGCACTTAATAACTTTTAACACAACATTCAAATGATCCGGTTCAAACAATTCACCGCAAATTCGGCCTATAACAATCACAACTTGCCACATACGCTAAAAATATGTAATTTTACAATCAAATTACTCCAAAAATGTCAAATTGTGTAGACAAATACTAAACTGAAAATGAATGGCACCGGGACCAAAAAATTACAGATTTTCATTCAAAACTCCCAATAGTCACCCAATTAATTATGAAAATTAGACAATTAACACCCAAAATATGGGTGAAAAGATAGGAACGGAACGAGCCTATCAAATCTCCCCACACTTGAGCGTTGCTTGCCCCCAAGCAACAGTGCATTAAACCCACGAAAACAAAAATAATCACATGTAACACCTGGTTCAAAAATCATTCACACCCAAAACAAATGACTGCACAAGGTCTTTTCTTTCTTAACAACGAAACCAAGATTCACCTGTTAAACAATATTATCAAAAGTAAAATCCCCCTCACTAAAATGTAGAGAAAAGCATGATGGTCCCAACGGTGTAGGTGTGTGAAATCCAAACCACCAATCATTCCAAAAACCCAAGAATTGTGTGATAAAAACTGGTATGCTCGTGATTCATTTTTTTTTTTGAATAAATAAAGTTGGTCAGGTTCTGGATTACAGGGCTGATTCAAGCTATAGGGCCTAGGAGTTTATCTCATTACTATGCATACTCAACTCTCACACGGGGTGATTCACGAGATGAGCAGAGCCCCTTTTCGGAGATGAAATTCTCGACACACGAAGTGTAACCCCATAACAAGAATCAATTGCCTGCTTAGCATGAATTTATCCCGATATGCTTAGAAAGCAGAGCTCCTTACGGAGTAAGGATATTCAACACCTGGCCAGTCAAGCAATTATTGATGACGAACTAGTGAATCACGAGTAAAACCGAATTTAATCAACACAAATCAAACCATCTAACATGCCAACATTCCCAAGAATATACACACCACCCTGATGATTACATCATTACTAATTCTTTCCAAGAAAGATGGAGGAGACGGAAGATTACAAAAGAAAATAAAGATTAACAAGTTACCTCTGTTGCGTTGCTAAACTAGAAAAAAGAACCTCGTGCACCTCAAAATGTTTTCGGACAGAATAACTTCATCACCAAATGTCATGTCCAAGCTAAAACCAAACCTCCCCACACTTAGGGGTGACATCGCCCTCGAGGTCAAAGAAAAGATTAAAACAAAAATACCAGAGGCAAATTAACGAGTAAAATGATTTTTAGCCCGGCAACACATCATAATCAGAATAATAATCAGCACAAATCAACAAAGGAGTAATATGATAGTAAGCACACATTTTTAGCAGCGTAGTTAGAGTTGACAGATTACCATATAAGCCAAACTACAGTGAATAACCTCCGGCTTAACATAAAACTCAGCATCTGATAGCCCCTCGGTCTCTGGTGGTGAGATATTCGGTCTTAGAACCATGATCTGCAAGCTGAAATGACTCTCCTAGATGTGTAGATGCCGCTGAATCCTGCCACTGGAATGCTGCAATAATACTGAGGCTGGGCAGTTTGTCCAAAGTGTGGTGAACCAAGGCCCAATAAACAATGGTCTATTGTCAACGGGCAGCTGATTCGGCCCTCAAAAATCAACCACCATCCAAATACTACCATCAAGGTCATGTCCCATCAAATTGCACTAGATGATTGTGCTTGTCGTCGCTTCTTCTTCTAAACAGCGGTGCTCCTGCGGACAGCGAAAGAGCTCACGAAATCCATGGTGCATGGCAGCTGGTTTCACTCCTGGAGCATGCGTAAGTCTCCAATTATTGTCTCCAACTATTGGCCTTGAAAGTGTCTGCTGCCGGGTCTCCACGGACCTTCTGTAAAGTAAACGGGAGTTGGTAGCCAGTATCCTTTAGGAGCTCCATTTATATAGGGCTACACTTCTTCTTCCACACCATTCCATGTCATATCTACAATTCAAAGAAGAGAAATCCAACCGCACAAGCACAAGATGAAAATGAAAAAACAAAGACAAAAAATGCATAAACAAGAGATACTAAACTCTTAATTCCTTTTTTTTTTAGTTTTTTTCAGTTTTTTTTTTTGGTGGGTTGCCTCCCAGAAGCGCTTCTTTAACGTCACTAGCTTGACGATAAAATCTCATTCAAAGACGGGTTCGAGGCTTAAAACCTCCTTCTGCTTTTCAAACATTCCCCCAAAATAGTGCTTGAGTTGGTTGCCGTTGACCTTGACAACCCGGCCATCATTATGCTCAATCTCCACACTTCCATAGGGATAAACTCGACGTACAGTGTATGGTCCCGTCCATCGGGACTTCAGCTTCCCAGGAAAAAGTCTCAACCTTGAATTATACAACAACATCTTCTCCCCCTCTGCAAACTGGCGGTCCGCCTTAATGTGCTTGTCATGAGCTTGTTTTACTCTCTCTTTGTATAAGTATGAATTATGAAAGGCCTGAGCCCTCCACTCATCCAATTCATTCACCTGAAAGAACCGCTCCTTACCTGCACTAGATGAATCAAGACAAACAGTCCTTAAAGCCCAGAGTGCCCTATGCTCTACCTCCACAGGTAAATGACAAGACTTCCCATAAACTAATCGAAAAGGAGTAGTACCAATCGGAGTCTTATAAGCTGTCCTAAAAGCCCATAGCGCGTCATCTAGTTTTTCTGACCAATCCTTACGAGTTTGGGCTACAGTTTTTTCTAGGATAGCCTTAAGATCCCGATTTGCATTCTCTACTTGCCCCTGAGTTTGGGGGTGGTAGGCTACTCCTTGCCGATGTTGAACCCCATATTTAGACAAAACACGAGCTAGCGGATCATTACGAAAATGGGTTCCTCGATCACTAATCAAAACTTTGGGGACTCCAAACCTAGAAAACAAATTTTTTACAAAACGCACAACCACTCTAGCATCATTAGTAGGGCTCGCAATAGCCTCTACCCACTTCGACACATAATCAATAGCGACTAAAATAAATTTATTGCCTCTTGAGCTAGGGAATGGGCCTACAAAATCAATCCCCCAGACATCAAAAACTTCACAAGGCAATAGATATGTCTGGGGCATCTCATCTCGTTTAGAAATATTTCCTACCCGTTGACACCTATCGCATGAGGCAACATAAGAATTTGCATCTTTGAACAATGTGGGCCAGTAATACCCACACTCTAACACTCTTCTTGCCGTCCTATTACCAGAAAAATGCCCCCCAGTGGGGCCAGAATGACAATGGTAAAGAATCTCATTCATTTCATCCTCAGGAATGCACCTTCGTACTACCTGGTCAGCACAAATCCTGAACAAATAAGGACCATCCCAGAAATAATACTTAGCATCGGACATAAACTTTTTTAACATGTGTCGAGATAGCCCGGTAGGCTCAACATCGCCTACTAAGTAGTTGGCTATGTCTGCATACCAGGGTACCTCAGATCCAATCTCAACCTGCAAAAGACGTTCATCAGGAAAAAGTTCTTCAATAACATCATTACCGAAAGAGTCTACCAAGTCAGCATCTAATCATGATAAGTGATCAGCTGCTTGATTGGCGGAACCCCTCCGGTCCCTAATCTCTATGTTAAATTCCTGCAACAACAAAATCCAACGGAGAAGTCTATGTTTAGAGTCGTGCTTCAGAAATAAATATCTCAACGCTGAATGATCGGTGTAGATAATTACTTCAGATAAAATAATATACGACCTAAACTTCTCCAAAGCATACACAATAGCTAGAAGCTCTTTCTCTGTAGTGGTATAATTCAACTGGGGTCCCGCTAAGGTTTTGCTAGCGTATTAGATGGGGCGGAAGTGATTATCTTTCCGTTGGCCAAGAATGGCCCCAACCACCTGATCGCTAGCATTGCACATTAGTTCAAAGGGATTTCCCAATCTGGAGCAACTAAAACTGGAGCTTCCATCAACTTAAGTTTCAAACACTTAAAAGCAAGCAAACATTCATCATCAAACAAAAAATCAGCATCTTTCTCAAGCAAACGGGTGAGAGGTTTGGCTATTTTTGAGAAATCCCGAATAAAGCGCCGGTAGAAGCCGGCGTGCCCAAGAAAGCTACGGACAGCCTTTACGGTCGTTGGAGGCGGGAGTTTCTCAATGGCCTCGATTTTTGCCTTATCAACCTCAATACCCTTAGATGACACCTTATGACCTAGCACAATACCCTCCTTGACCATGAAGTGACACTTTTCCCAACTCAAGGCCAAGTGGGTCTCCTCACACCTAATCAACACTTTCTCTAAATTATGGAGGCATTCATCAAATGACTCCCCAAAAATAGAGAAGTCATCCATAAAAACCTCCATAAAATCACCAATAAACTTCTCAAAGATAGCAATCATGCAACGCATAAATGTGGCAGGGGCATTGCATAGACCAAAAGACATCCTACGAAATGCAAATGTCCCAAATGGGCAAGTAAAAGTGGTCTTTTCCTGGTCAACGGGATCAACGTGTATTTGAAAGTACCCGCTCATCCCGTCAAGGAAACAATAATAAGCATGCCCTGCCAAACTCTCAATCAACTGATCAATAAAAGGTAAGGGAAAATGATCCTTCCGAGTGGCTTCATTTAGTTTACGGTAATCAACGACCATCCGCCACCCAGTCACCGTCCTACTAGGTAAGAGTTCCCCCTTCTCATTGTGAATCACCGTCATACCCCCCTTCTTGGGGACCACGTGAGTAGGGCTAACCCATTGGCTATTTGAAATTGGGTAAATTATACCCACATCCAAAAGCCTCAGGACTTCTTCCTTTACCACTTCCATCATCGTGGGGTTTAAACGTCGTTGCGGTTGCACGACTGGTTTATACCCTTCCTCACACTTGATTTTATGGGTACAAAAGGTTGGGCTAATCCCACGAAGATCCTCAAGCTTACGCGCAATGACTTGCTCGTGACACCTAAGGACATCCATCAATTTTTCCTTCCGTCCCGACTCTAACTGGGCTGAAATAATGACAGGGTGTTGGCCCTGTGTGTCTAAAAATGCATACTCCAGGTGGCTAGGGAGCAGTTTGAGTTGAGGAGTAACCTTATCGGTGGGCTGCTCCTCAAACTTAGTAAGCAACGTAGGGAAATCATCATCCCTAATCACCTGCTCACAATCAACAGTCATTTCTTCTTCATTTTCAGCCACCATATCCCCCACATAATGAATGGCACTAACAGGTGGGGTAATATCACTATCGCCTCCAAATAAATACCCCTCCACTGACTCAAACATATCAAGATAATTGCATGATTCAGCGGGGTCTGAGGCCTTACTCATCACCTCTGAGAGTTTAAAAGTGCACACATCGTCCCCAACTCTCAGAGAAAGTGAACCAGCAGCAACATCGACAAGGGCCCTAGCAGTAGCCAGAAAGGGCCTCCCTAAAATAAGTGGAGTCTCACGATCTTCCTCCATGTCCATGACCACAAAATCGACAGGGAATATGAACTTGTCCACTCGTACTAATACATCCTCTAGAATTCCTTTCGGGTATTTCACCGATCGGTCCGCTAGCTGAAGGCTCATACGAGTGGGCTTTAGTTCACCCAAGCCAAGTTTCATGACCACAGATGAAGGCATCAGGTTGATGCTAGCTCCTAAATCAGCTAAAGCATTATTAAACATAAAATTTTCAATAGAACAAGGTACAGTAAAACTCCCTGGGTCTTTTAGCTTCGGAGGCATAGTCTTCAGAACAACTGCTGAACATTCCGCATTAAGATCCACCACTTCCGGCTCTTCCCACCTCCTCTTTTTCGTGAGGAGATCCTTCATAAATTTTGCGTACCTCGGCATCTCTGTCAAAGCTTCTATGAATGGGACATTAATATGAAGCTGCTTCAGATGCTCCATAAATCTAATCAGGTTCGTGTTATCATTGCTTCTCTTCACCCGTGTAGGGAACGGGAGAGGTGGAGTCGTCTTACTCTTCTCTTTCTTCAGAGAATCTTCTTTCTGAGCTTCATTACTCCTGGAAGGAATAGGGACAGCCACTGGTTCTTCTTCAACCTCCTGGGATTTCGGGTCTTGATGCCGTTGGTCATCATTTTGTTGAGGCAATGGTGGAGTATTAACTTCTGTAAGGGTCTTCCCGTTGCGTAGTGTAACGGCCTGCACTTGCTCCCTTGGATTGGGTTCTGTTGAACTCGGAAGGCTGCCTGGTTCTCTAGGAGCAACTGAACCAAGCTGGCGGATAAGAGCTTCTAGGTTGCTGAAACGCTGGTGCATCTCCGCTTGATTTTTGGCTAATTCAGCCACTGTTTTCTCTAGCGCTGCATTTATCGGAGGTGGTTCAAGCTGTCTTTGGTGAGGCGGGACATAAGTGGGCTGATTTGGATTGCCTCTATTCTGAAAATTTGCTTGGTAATTGGGAGCATTCCGCTGCCCCTTATTCTGATTTTCAGGTCTCCACGAGCCTCCTCCTTGCTGAAAGTTTCCTCTCTGAACTTGATTGTTGAAAAACTGCCCACCAGCTCTCTGGCCTTGACCGTATTCCATGAAATTCACATCACGGACCACTGGAGCTGCCTGATTCTGAACATAAAGAGGACAGGTGTGAGTGAGGTGAACTCCCATGCACATTTCGCAAGATAAAGCTAGTTCTTGGCCAGTTGGACTTGGATAACTTGCTCGAACGGGAAGTGGGGCAGAATACATAGGATAAGAGGGCTGATATGCCCCAATATTGTGAACATGTTGCTGCTGAGAGGTCTGTGCCTTCAAGTCTTTGACATCCACTGCCAGTCCCTCGATCTTCGCTGTGAGTGCAGTGATGGGATCTAAATTGAGCAGACCAGGTGGATTTTGAGCTCTCTCCTTGCCCGCGTACCAATATTTGTCATTTGAAGCCAAATTCTCTATTATCTGCTCTTCTGCCTCTGGGGACAATTTTAGAAACATACCCCCCTGAGATGCCCGGTCTAGTTCTCTCATATACTCCAGCCGAAGACCATTATAAAATCTGCACATAATGGTTGCTGAATTCATGAATGTTTCTGGACACTTCCTTCTCAGCGTCTTAAGCCTATCCCATGCTTCACTGAAAGTCTCAGTCGGAGCTTGAGTGAAGTTGAGAATTTCTGTCTGAACTTTGATAGCGGCAGAGGGAGGAAAGTACTCCTGCATAAATGCCTGATGAAGCTTCTCCCATGTATCAAAATGCCCGTTTGGAAAGCTACGGAGCCACCGTGATGCCTTGTCTCTCAACGAGAATGGAAATAAGGTCAACCTCACTGCCTCGCTGGATACCCCATTGTATTTGAATGTGGCACATGTCTGAATAAAGCTCTCAATATGTTCCATTGGATCTTCATGGGTGTATCCGCAGAATGGATTATTAGCAAGCATCTGCATCATGGCCGGCTTGATTTCAAAATTGTTGCCCTCAATGGTGGGTGCACCAATGCTATTTCTCGCCACATAATTAGGCGTCAACTTCTCCAGAGTTGTCTCATCGGCCATTTTGTTTAAGTCTTCTAGCAACCGCCTTTTAGCTCTTCCTCGGAATAAGCGTTCAGGATACGAATAACCTGCAATTAAATCTTGTTCCCCCAAGGAGCGAGTGTGCATGCACTGGTTCCTGCAGCTTAGTTCACGTGCAAAGAACACCAAAAACAAAAACAAATAACAGAAAAGAAATAGAAAGTCTCACCGACTTACTTTTACCTATTCCACAGAAAGTACTTAACAAACAACCGTGCCACTCCCCGGCAACGGCGCCATTTGATCGGTGTATCTTTTTAGTGTGAGTAAAACGTAGTTGGTTAATCCGTAGAATAACCAGACCACGAGTATCGTCTCTCAAGGAGTGGCAAAAAGGAAGTTTTCAATACAGTCCGTGATCACAGGCTAGCACAAGTCATGGTAATCTTTCCGAATAAATTGTTTTCGGGTGATAAAAAAATTAAACTAACTAACAACGAGTGCAAAAAAAATAGAGTAGAAAGGTAAACTGATTCTAGATATTAAAACAGGGTTCGAATTGGATGGTTCGGGTTCTGGGTGTTCTTTCGAGATGAGAATTAAGTAAATTAATTTTCAATTATTCCTGGAAAGAAAATGAAATAAATTCTCATAGACAAGAATTAAATCAAATTATCACAATCTTAACTTATTTCTAAGATCAGATTGCTTGTATAAAACCCAAGCTAATTTAACGCAAATTCCATAGACAAAAATTGAATTAAATCTAAACATTCATATATGAGGTGATCAAATTCATATAGACAATTATGATCAATCTTATACAATTTTCCAGAAAATTAATGGAATTTCAAAAACTAAATTCACACCTTCAAGAACCCATGAACCCTAGCCCCAATTCAAATCCTAGATTGAATTAGCTACTCATACTTAAAATGACCATCACAGTAATACTGATTAACATTATAAAGGCTAGAAAACTGATGTAGAATGATTGCTAAGAAATTCTGAAATTAGCTATGGGAGAAAAACTGCATCGATATTCAATCCAACATTGGGAACATGTAATGTAAAGTATAATTAAACTTACAGTGATTCCGTAGGAACTAAATTGAAATGGGAGAAATTGAACAAAAACATGAAGTTTGGAAATCCCTCCTAGATTTCTACAGCGGCTACATCTAGATTCCAGAAGAAAAAAAATTGTGTGGTCTTCTAGTTGGCGCTTGGCTGTTTCTCCAGAGAACAAAAAACTGCTGTTGCGACTAAGTTTGGAGAAACAAACTACTACTCCTGCGGCTGGCTTGTTTGTATGCTACCAAAAATATGAAAACTGAACTCTCTGGTGCGGCTAATGTGTTCCGAAAAAAACGAAAGAGAAAAAGGGTGGTTAAGTCCTTTTTGCAGCTGCTAGTTCCAGGGAAAAAAATAGCTTCTTTGTTTTTGGGCTGCTTGAGAAAGATCCAATCTCCTGCGGGTTTTTTCTTCTTTGGGCTGTTCTCTTTTTTTTTTCGGCGGCACTTAATAACTTTTAACACAACATTCAAATGATCCGGCTCAAACAATTCACCACAAATTCGGCCTATAACAATCACAACTTGCCACATACGCTAAAAAATGTAATTTTACAATCAAATTACTCCAAAAATGTCAAATTGTGTAGACAAATACTAAACTGAAAATGAATGGCACCGGGACCGAAAAATTACAGATTTTCATTCAAAACTCCCAATAGTCACCCAATTAATTATGAAAATTAGACAATTAACACCCAAAATATGGGTGAAAAGATAGGAACGGAACGAGCCTATCACAGCACATCAAAGGTAAATGATTTTGACACTTCAGTACTTTTATCTGACGAATATATGACTGCTTTTGCTAGGAGATTCAAAAGTTTATGAAGAATCCTAAAGATGGAAGAAGTCCATCATTCAGCAGAAACCCATTCCAGAAGGTCAAAACAACAGAATGCGGTGGTGAGCTTCTCTGTTACAACTGCAGACAACCTGGACATTTCAAGGCAGAATGTCCACATCCAAGAGTATCCAAGAAACAAGGGCATGATGGAGAAAAGAAGAAGTATGAAGACAATTCCAGAAGAAGGAAAGCACTCGTGACAGAACAGCTCGAGAAAGACCCTCTGTCTGAGACAGAATCCAGTTCTGACTCTGATTCTGATGAGGCCTTCTATTGCCTTGATACTGAGACAGAAGACCTATGCCTCATGGCTCATTCTGATGATGAGGTAACCTCTCCTTCTGCATCTAGTTTCTCTTCGGTAGGCTTAGCTTTTGATTCCGATTCAATGTCAGAATTTTGGGAAGAGTTTAAGGCCATACAAGCCACTTATTCCTCTGTAACAGAAGAAAACAGTAAGTTGAAGGATGAAATTCTTGACTTGAAAAAGGAGGTTGAGATCAAAATCAATCTTCTAATTAAGGAAAGAGATCAGCTGGAGACTGGAAATGTTTCTCTTTTCAAGAGAATAAGAGAAATAGAGCCTCTTGAGATTAAGTACAAAGCTTACCAGAAGGCCCAGTCTTCCATGGAAAAGATTTTACTTGATCAACAGATTGACACTGGCTTTGGTCTTGGTTATGGCTCAACAGAATCAGGTGAGCCTTCTGTAATGCCTAGCACCAGTGTTGCTAAGGCAGATAAGGTCATAGTGCCACTGATCTCTAGCCCCATCTGTCAAGCTGGTGTATCTGGCACCAAGGTTGTTCATGAGGAAGTTAGACCAGAAAAGGGAAAGATAAAGGTTCAACAGAAACCCTTTTTGAAAAATAATGAACCTGGCAGAAAACCTAACAACAGAAAGGGTTTTCAGGATAACAAAAATAAAAGACCATTCATTGACAGATAACCTCATGACAATCGTGCCAGAAATGACCACCAGAAGGGAAAATATCAAGAGAGAGTTAACTTTAGGCAGAAGAGGTTGGCTGGTCAACTTCAGAAGCCCAAAGCTAACCGTCCATCTGCTCTTGATAGTATATGTGACTTCTTTCCAACAAAGAAAGCTATGCAAAACTCTGTAAACAGGAAGCATGACCCTCACAAGCATCTGCCCAAAGTGAACCACACTTCAGTTTACTATAACTACCAGGTGGACAATGGGTACCATCCACCAAGGTTTCACCTGATGAGACCAAAATGGTACCAACTACCCAGACTCGATGACCCCCAGAACCCAGCATTGCTTGGGTACCTAAGTCTTTATTTTGATCTTGCAGGAACTGTGTGCTGGAGCTATCTCAGAGCAAGAATGGTTTATTCATAGTGGATGCTCCAAGCACATGACAGGTGACAGAAGTTGCCTAACTGAGTTCCAGAAATGCAAAGGACCTAGAGTTACCTTTGGAGGTAATGACAAAGAAGGTCAAACAAAAGGAAGAGGAAAGCTGATCAAGAACCAGATAGTCATTGATGATGTCTCATATGTTAAAGGACTGAAGTTCAACTTGGTGAGTGCTAGCCAATTCTGTGACAAAGGCTACACTGTTGAATTCACTAAGGACTTCTGCTATGTGAAGCATGAGACAACAATAGAAGTGGTTCTTACAGCATCAAGGAAGAAGAACATCTATGTGGTTGATTGGAACACTGCAAAGGATGGAGTTTGCCTGATAGCCAAGGGAGATTCAAAACTAAGCTGGGACTGGCACAAGAAGCTTAGCCATTTGAACTTCAAAACAATCAACAAACTGGCAACAGAACACATTGTTGAAGGACTGCCAGACATAGTTTACAAGAAAGAGACCCTCTGCAGTGCATGCCAGAAGGGAAAGCAACAGAAGAACTCTTTCAAACCCATTGCTGGAGATCTTTCTACAAGTCCTTTAAATCTTATCCACATGGATTTATTTGGACCTGTTGAAACTCCAAGTGTTGGTGGCAAGAAATACACCCTAGACATGGTTGATGACTATTCCAGATATACATGGACCATCTTTCTATCAAAGAAAAATGAAACTCTTCAGAAGTTGTCATCTCTGTTAAAGCAACTTCAGACTGAGAAGAACTTGAAGGTTAAGACAATCAGGTGTGACAGAGGAACTGAATTTGTCAACCAAGTCATAAAGGACTTCTGTGATCAAAATGGAACCTTTCATCAACTCTCTGCCGCCAGAACCCCTCAACAGAATGGTGTAGCAAAAAGGAGGAACAGAACATTAAAAGAAGCTGCAAGGACAGTGATTGCAGAATCTGGACTACCTATAAGATATTGGGCTGAAGCAATCAACACTGCATGCTATACCCAGAACAGAAGCATGATCAACAAGAATCACCAGAAGACCCCTTATGAACTCTGAAAAGGAAGAAAACCCAACATCAGTTACTTTCATGTGTTTGGATGCAAGTGCTACATCCTTAACAATGGAAAGGAGCATCTGAAAGTCTTTCAAGAGAAAGCTGATGAAGGTATCTTTATAGGTTATTCAAACACCAGTAAAGCCTATAGAGTACTCAACAGAAGGACTCTACATGTTGAAGAGTCTATACATGTGAAGTTTGATGATAGCACCTCTGTTAAAGAAGTAACAGAGATCCTCCAAGAAGTCAGCATAGAAGATAGAACACCAGAACCAACAGAAGAGGTAGCAGATAACCCTGCATTTCCAACACCTGCACCAAACCCCCTTCTGTTGAATAAAGATGAAGACTCAGAAGATGAAGAACCAGAGAGACCCAGACAGCAACTGACAGAACCTGATCTGACATGGTTAAGAGACCATCCCCCTAATCAAGTAATTGGACATATCAGAAGTGGTGTGCAGACTAGATCAGCATCCACAAGGAGAGAAGCAATGCTTGCCTGCTATATATCTCAGATGAAACCCATGACTGTAGAAGAAGCTCTTGCAGATTCAGACTGGATCAATGCAATGCAAGAAGAGCTTACTCAATTTGAAAGGAACAAAGTATGGGAACTTGTTCCTAGGCCAAAACACCAGAATGTCATTGGAACCAAGTGGGTATTCAAGAATAAAGCAGATGAAGAAGGCAATATTGTAAGGAATAAGGCTAGGCTGGTAGCCAAGGGATACTGCAAAGAAGAAGGAATAGATTTTGATGAGACATTTGCACCAGTAGCCAGACTTGAAGCCATCAGAATCTTTCTAGCCTATGCTGCCTACAATAACATCAAGGTCTACCAGATGGATGTCAAAAGTGCATTTCTGAATGGAGATCTTGAAGAAGAAGTTTATGTGGAACAACCACCAGGTTTTGTCATTCCTACTCACTCCTCCTGTGTCTACAAGCTTAAAAAGGCCCTCTATGGTCTTAAGCAAGCTCCCAGAGCATGGTATGACACATTGTCCCTTTTCCTAGTGAACCATGGGTTTACTAAAGGAAAGGTTGACAAAACTCTATTTCAAATCTCTGTTGCTAAACATATTCTGTTAGTACAAATATATGTTGATGATATTATATTTGGTAGTACTAATTCAGAACTGTGCAAGAAATTCTCTCAAGTGATGCAGAGTCAATTTGAAATGAGTATGATGGGAGAACTCAGCTACTTCCTAGGACTACAAGTCAAACAAGTTCCAGAAGGAATCTTTATCAATCAAGGGAAGTATACTAGAGACTTGATCAAGAAGTTTGGAGTAGAAGGCAAATCCTCAGTGAAGATTCCCATGAACACCTCACAAGGAATTGGTCAAGATGATGAAGGCAAAGATGTCGATGCAACTACCTACAGAGGAATCATAGGATCTCTGCTGTATCTGACTACAAGCAGATCAGACATCTCATTCTCTGTTGGAATCTGTGCCAGATACCAATCAAAGCCCAAGGAGAGCCATCTTAGTGCTGCAAAGAGAATCATCAGATATATCAAAGGAAATCCAAATGCAGGCCTATGGTATCCAATGGGAGGTAACTTTGAACTAATTGGTTACTCTGACTCAGATTTTGCAGGTTGCAGATTAGACAGGAAAAGCACCTCTGGTCATTGCCAAATGCTAGGACGAAGGCTTGTTTCCTGGTTTAGCAAGAAGCAGAATTCAATCTCAACAAGTACAGCAGAAGCTGAATACATTGCAGCTGGGAGTTGTTGTGCTCAGCTACTCTGGATGAAGCAACAGCTGAAGGACTATGGCATTCAAGCAAAGGAGATCAAATTGCTCTGTGACAACACCAGTGCCATTGTCATCACTCAGAATCCAGTTCTTCACTCCAGGACAAAGCACATTGAGATCAGACATCACTTCATCAGAGATCATGTTGAAAAGAAGCACATATGCATGGAGCATGTGCCAACAGAAGACCAGCTTGCAGACATTCTGACAAAGTCTCTTCCTGAGGCTAGATTCAACAAAGTGAGAGAGGAATTGGGAATGATGGATGAAATTCCAAGAGAAAGTTGAAAAGGAAGGCCCTCTGTTACAAAATCTCTGCTAACAGAATACCTGTTGCAGAACCCCTTCTGTTAA